TTCTTAATATCCCATCAGTGATTCGGCTTTTAATTTATGTTATTAAACAAAGACTAAGAATGTTTAAATTACGATACATAACAAACAATAAAATTTGGTTAATTAATATTCATACATATTTCACCATCCGGTACCGGTAAAGTGGTCGAACCCGCTTATTATCTTTTATATAGACTTGTCAAGAACAATTCTTAACAAGCTCCTTATATTTGTATATAAACTACGAAAGGTGTGCCAAGCTGCCCAATTAGGTATCCACAAATTAGTAATGAATAATCAAACTTGGAGGTTTGCCATAATTACTATTGGCTGGCCACATAGGGAGGTATTCAGTAGTTAATTATACATTCCACAGCAGTAATTAGCTGTAATCTGTCAACCACCGTTCTCAGAAGACTAGCCATACGTGCCATGCAGTTTTGGGAAAACAATCTTAATAATATTGCATATAAAAGATATAATAGTCATCCACCAACTGGGCTAACCATTGAAATTATAAAGCATTCATGATTTATTCAAGTTCAGTATTAAATGTAATCATGTTAAGTCCTGAAATATTGTTAAAAGCGCATTCTCAACTCAGACTTAACAACTACGGCTTGTTTCGTTTCATATTTTTTTGCTGAATAATTTCTTCCTTCAAGTTTAAAGAGACATTTTGTGTTTATTATTACTTAAAATAAGTTTATAGGAATCAAAATAGGAATATGGATTGGCTTGATACTTTTTTGCCTTATAAGATAATTTAAATAATTTAATGCATGTATCAATATAAAGTTTCAATATAATATCGACTATTTTCACATAAATCTTTATTTAAATTTCTTTCTGTTAATTCCTGAACTTACAAGATACCTTCAATGGAAATCTGGCAAGTTATTACTGTATTTATAAAGGCGTAACTAGTAGATATAAACAATGTGGAAGGGCGGAAAGATACTTATTTCACGTGACGTTAATATATCATACGTTGAACAACTGTCATATAACAACATAGACTAATGCTCCACCCCAACATATTGTCGAAAACAAAACCTGGGATTGTATGTGTTACATTTGCTGGATATAATACATATAATGCTTACATAATCTAAGCGATTATATTGTCATGAATATGCAATATACCACTGTATCCAATTGAATCCTACCACGGTGAAGATTCCTACCATTATAATGCAAAAAGAAGTTACAAACATGTTTACAATAAAAGAAACAATTAATTGTAGATTTTAAAGCTTTTGTAAACCCCTTCCATTTTGAAGATAGTTTTATGACTAGTTAAAAATTGAGTGAATGGTTGATAATGTATCGAACAAATATATGTGTCTAAGTATTTATTGGAGTAATAACTGTTGAATTTGACACATTTATCTACCTAAATTGAATAGTGATTTTTTTACGCCAATGAGACTTTTGTAATTGCTTATGACTCCTGGAAATTTGCTTAAAAGAATGCATTACCTTCTAATATAAGATATGGATACTTTATATTACACTTGATTTTAAAAACCGAGACTGCATTGGTTTAATAACCATTTTAAACCATTGTCGTAGTCGGAGTTTGCTTATATATTATGAGCAACTCTGTTTTAGTTGTTTAAACAAAACTACTCCTTCAATTTTGAATAGAACTGAAAAAACACACTTTGAAATGAGAAAAGCGTGTTTCCAATTACGTTAATAAGATAAACCAAAAGCGTAAACAAATATTGAAATAAATTGAAGTTAGAATTGAAGTATCTTATCCCGAGGAGAAATAATTATTCCCCATTTCATTTAACTAATCCATTCCCATTTCCTATCATCTCCTTGGAGGTATTTCATTTTCATAATTATTTCTAAATTAAACAATCAAGTGATGATAAATTTATTTGTTTAAATATATTTTTCTGATATAAGTACTTAATCATTAATTTAATAACTACTCATAGGCCCTGAATGCACTTATAATTAAACAACATAGTCCCTTAAAATTAGTTTTAGAATGTAAACACCTAGTGTACTTATACTGTCTCTGAGTTTGTATCCACATTCCTTTCTTACTAAGTAATTCCACCATTTTATATGCTATATATATTTCTCTCTTAGATATTTTGTATATTGCATAAGTAGAGCTTAATATTTAATATTACGAAACCAACAAAATAAAACCAACCTTATGATATACTTGTACTTCAATGAATATCAAAGTAAAGTCCTACATGGTTGTAATATATTGTATTGTCAGCAATACAAACAATACAGTAATAAATCAAGCAGGTCTCGTCAAGTGGTTTAGCTAGTTAATCAATCAGGAGGTATTGCTGAAGCTGTCTGGCGACGTCAATCACTCACTCAGGAACAATAAAAGATTGTATTGTCAGCAATACAAACAATACAGTAATAAATCAAGCAGGTCTCGTCAAGTGGTTTAGCTAGTTAATCAATCAGGAGGTATTGCTGAGCTGTCTGGCGACGTCAATCACTCATTCAGGAACAATAAAAGATTGTATTCAACGAAAACTCCGTATTTTAGACATTATGTTTGAACCAAGCTTTATTTTTTATACCCATACAGTTTTTATTTTTTAGTTCCTTTAAAAAAACATTTATTAACATAATCTACATGGGTATTTGAACAAAAGTCATCACGTCTACTAAAATTATCATGCGAGTATAAATGATTCTTTCAACAATTTTTTTAAGGTTGACTTCAGACTGCATACTGAAGTAAAAAATTTCTTTCATATTTAGAAGCTGTAGGAAGTGTTAACTCATTTAAAACATAGTTGACTTTTTCGTGTCGTTATACAGTAGTTAATGAAACAAATGAATTACGTAGTTATTAATTTATAGTATAAACAAATTATTGTAAAATCGAATAATTTTGTGTCAAAAAAAGTTAAATTATAAAATAATAAATTAAACTGCCTTATTACGATTGAAAAAACTTACTTTGAAAAAAAAATCCGATATAAAATACAATTGGAAATAATATAATACCTCGATTAAGTACGAACTGACTATACGAAACATAAACTTGCAAATTTGAACCAAATACGGTTGAAATGTTAAGCCCTTTATCGATGCTTTCTGACATGTCTCTCGTTGAAAGTTAATACAATGTTTGTTCTCTCCATCTGTGTTTTGATTTAATTACTCTGCATCATTTATGAACTTTTGTAACTCTGCAAGTTCCTCTTTCTATAAAACTTGTAGCACGTTTGCACACGTTTTCCATCTTTTATTAAAAGATTTTGGAACCTTATAACATGGTTTTATAAAAAGCTAAAACACATTTTTCCAAATTAACAAAGGATCGTGTTAAAGTAAAATGTGGTATGTGTTGCTAGTAGTTTGTAGCGCCTCAGAGTTCGGCACGGGAAGGACGGGTTTGATTCCCGGCACACCTACAACACATACAGGGTGTTTTTTTTTTAAACTTGCTTCTCTATTTATATAAAAACTTCAATAGATATAAGTATGTATTTTATTCAGCATTGCCTCCAGGATTGATTTAAGACAGTATAAAATAGGTTTACGTACCTTACGTCGTCAATCCTTGAATAGTCTTACAAGCGACTAGTTTCGAAACTGGTGTTTCATTCTCAAGCTTTGTCGTCAAACATAAGTATGTAGTTTGCGGAAATCATATATTGACGTCGAGGCCACAATGAATTCAACGTTAGGTTCCCATTCACCCACTTTCTCCCCCTACCCTTAACATATCCAATTTTAGAAGTAGGGCGTTTTTAAAGGTGAAGGAATGCGAAACGCCTAAGAGTGTTTTGTAGAAAATTTAATTCCTAACCATGAAAATTCTTTCAAATCTGCTGGTTCATACCGTTTTTTAGCTATAGCCGTTTCAAAAAGCGTGTGACTTAAGGGGTACATTGCAGTTTTAAAATGTTAAGTTAAGGGTAGGGGGAGAAAGGGGGTGAATGGGAACTTAACGTTGAATTCACAACAATTGTGGCCCCTACGTCAATAGATGATTCCCGCAAACTACATACTTATATCTATTGAAGTTTTCATATAAATAGAGAAGCAAGTTTAAAAAAAAAAAACCACCCTGCATAAGTCTGTGCCGCTTAAAAAAAAAAGTTTGAATACTTCCTCATGTGATACTTCCGGTAAAAATTCCACCGGTGTAGTTGGCAAAAACTTCTATTTCATCAAATAAATTGTGTTTATTTTTTACATAATGTAAGAAACATTATCCTCGTTTATGGAGACGTTCTTACATAGATTTTAAACGGGAATTGATGATTAATAGTCCCTCAGAATAAGCGAGTTTCTTCTAAAGAATATAATATATTTAAAAAGTAAGATATTTTACTACACATAAAGTAGTAAACAATCTTCAGGCTTTAATCAAAGAGGTGAAACACAGAAAAGCCAAACATTACATGACTAAGTAGGTTCTAAATAAATTTAAATGTACTCGTGCCTAGGTTTATGTAAAACTTAATATACTTTTAGGGAAGCTAGATACAACAGACTTTAACAATTTAAGGTTTAAAGTTGTTTTTTAAAAATAAGTTCCTGTAGGGGAGGTTATCGCCCTTGAAAGGTGTAGATAAAATAAATATATTTTAAAATCTAAGGAATGCAATTTTTGGAAAAAAAAGAGTTTTATTTAAATTAAGAAAAAACGTACATGTGTGACCTGAAGAGTGGTTGAATTTGACAATGGGAAATTTACATAAATGAGAGGAAGTTAGAGGAAAATTTTTAGAAACAGAAACATTTAAATTAATACAATAATGTACAAACACTACTTTACTGAACAGTGTCATTATTTGTGTGTGTAAATTAAGTAACTTGAGGTTTTCATACTAATGTTGTGTTATATTCGAGATTTGCACAGTAGAATTGTAACCACAAGAGTCAACAAAGCTTAACATTCCAATGTCAATACGGACGAATTGAGGGGATTGTGTTACAACATTGCTGATGACCGCAGCCTATAGTGGCGGTATGTTTTATTTCAGTGTTGTACTTACCTCTTCTTGTTCCAGGGTTCAATCTATTCACCTGCAGACCTCGATTTCATCCCCGGTAGGAAGGGAGAGAGAGGGGAAGTTGGACCAAGAGGTCCTCAAGGTCTCCCGGGACCTAAAGGTAATTTTAAAATTGCTAATAGTTTTTTTTTTCAATGAATTAAGTGGTTAAGATTAATTGTTGAGTTAATGTTTAATTCTATTACACCTGGGTATAGACATGTCCAAGGTTTCTGATAAATAATTGTTTTAAAAAGATGCAATTATATTTTAAAACATGGTGAATTAGTTTTCTATATTGATTTGTCAAAAACCGTTTCCTCCAAGCAGGGAGATTTAAACCTTTTTGATAATATAGAAGATGTCGCGGTATTTTTTAATTTAACTAAGAACTACAGTAGGGCCTACAATAATAATTTTATGCTAATGTAGTATGAATTTTTATATTATTTTTATTTCATTTTATAGTGTCGAAACATGTCGTTTCTTAATTAAAATGAATTTAAAAGGGTACTTAATGTTGTTATAATGTTTCCAATTATTAATATAATAGTAGTCCTAATCACAACCATACTTATTAAAATAATAAATAAAATACCTTGTCTAGTGTTTAGACGATACAATGCAAATTTCAAATTAGTCTTTTCCAGATTCTATTTTTTTTTTCTTAGAAAAATGTTTACAGCCCTTAGGACATAACAAAACTGAATACTCCGAAAACTGCACGTATTCGGTGGTTGCATTTTAGTAAAAAATTAAATAACTAATTTACCAACAAACAGTTACTATAAACTAGTGTTTTTACAATTGTACGCTGTTAGTTTTAGGTTTAAAACTGTTTAAATCGCATACACTGTAATATTTTAGTTTTTCCTTACGTTTTATGTCCGAATGTTGTTGATGCCTTTGTTCTATCTTAGAGCTATGTAGCTCGTTGCATGCTTGTGTAAAGTCTACGTATTCACGCCAACAAAGCAACTCAAAGCATGTCATGTAATCAAACTTAAGCTTACATTCATAACGACTATGCTAGGGCGTCCGTTATATTATATATGTCTGAGATTATTTTTGTTGTATTTGAATGAAACTTCATTTTATCTCTTTCTTCACAGTGTTTTTACACTTTTCATCTAGAGAAGAAACTTTATTTTAATTATTTGGTATCGTATCTTACATCTGCTCACTTTATATTATTAATGTTTTGTTACGTTATTATGACCAATTATTAGCTTGTTTTGAACATAGCTTTAAGAAATTATATTATTTTTCACGACGATTAAAACAAACACTTGAAACAACTTGAAACATTTGAAGGTTTCTTAAAGACTAATAGGTGGGATTTTTACTCCACGCGAGCTAACAGCATTTGGGATAATCCTAATTTATTCCACTATTGAATTACCTTGGTAAAATTACACGATTATATTCTATAAGTAGGCCTACCGTAGAAGTATACTTAGTGTTGTACGATTATTTACATTGTAGGTAGACATTATCCTGCATTATCATAAAATTGTGTTATACTTCTTCCCATGCTTACTTTTTCTTGGTTTAGGTCCGTAAAATTGACAAAATCTCATACAAATTAAATTTTAAATTTAATGAAAATTACAAGCGTATTTATTGTTGCCTTTTGACATCCAACACAAATCTGGGTTAAACACAATTAAAAACACATTCGCACAAAGGGGTTTATTAAACCGCAAAAGTTAGCTCGCATATGGAAAGAGGAATAAACTCCGACTGAACTGAGTCCATTATTAAACTGTAGTGTTATTCATAGGCCCCACTTTATGGCTGGCTAGGCTCGCTATATTTTATCCACTATCGGGCGAATTAATTAGTTTCATTCGGCGCATGTTTGGCCACTCTCTGCCGCCAAACTCGACTGATTAAATTGAATTGCTGATGAGCGGTTTTTGCGCCCGCTGTCGAATAATTTTGTTTTGCTTCTCAACAATGGGTTAATTATGGCACATGTGGTATTTTTACGCTTGATTTCCCTTTGTTGATATTGATGATTGATCAGTTCACTTTGGAATGAATTTTAAATGTAAATTAATTGGTTTTATCGACATTTGCAACTACATACTTGTTAACTGATTTAACATCTTTCAGGTTTTCAGATTATTAGATAAGTTTTTTTAGTTCTTGTATTTGGAAGGTTTTGATTTAAATATTTTTACTTTCTTAAATTTGCATTTAATCTAAATAAACTACAAAAATATAACATCCTCAGCAGCAAACCTGCTAAGTGAATTCCCAACTTCCTAATCGATTTTCACTATATTTTCTTGAACGTTTCAGATTTGTTCCCTATTTAAATAACATTAGGTTTAAAAAGTACACAGGGTTGCTGCTACAAGGAATATAATAAAGTGTGTTTTTTGTAAAATATTTATGGCTTCGGAAGAAGTTAATACATTTACCAAATTCTATCATATCCAAAAACAAGTAAACCACAACAGTTTACTTATTCTCCAAAACTAACGCTGCTAGTGTAAAACTAGGCTGATCAAAAAATAGACTCTTCAGTTGAGGTAGCGAAAAGTGAACGTTCCCTTGCTGGAATATTATGCACCTACTCTATACATTTTCTTTTTATTCCTGTAGGAGAGCAGGGAGAGAGGGGACTTCCAGGATCCCCGGGAGCACCGGGACCACCGGGTCCTGCAGGAGGATCCTCTCAGGATGTAAGCATAACAACCTGTAACATAAGGTTTGATTTTTAAGGCATAGCACACACTGAATATAACAGCTCTTCAAAAAAAGAAATTGGTTTTAATTTTATTATTGTGTGCATATTATTAATACAATGATGTTGTATTTCAGATGTATCTGATACTTTAAGGTAGTTCAAACCCGTGTTTTTAATTTATGTACATATCACTTTGTGAGACAGTGTCAGAAGGTGGGTATGGCCGATATAAAGATTTCTCCAAAGATATTTATATATTATACAGAATATATAATAAAAAGGTTTGGGCAAACGGGTAATACAGTTATAATAACTCAGTTATTCTGGTTGTAGGTGATTGGCGTACAATTTTGATGTCATCGGTCATTCGTTCTATTTCAGTAGCCAACATGTTTTAGAACTAAGTTATTCTGTGCGAGTGTATTTTAAAAACCAAGTAAGATGAGGTTGCGACGCAAGGAGATTTTCGCTGGAGGCTTTTATCCCTCTCAACGACCCTGTTCCAAGTGCACGCACAATACAACCGTTGGTAAAAAAAGTTGGATGAACGTAATATATTTTGTTTTTAATTTTAAACAAAAAAGCAAACGATAAAATGCATACATTGCACATGTAAAACAGTACATAAATTGGCATAGCATTCTCGTTTGACCACTTTTTAAATTAAAACAAACTACTACTGTTCTAAATTGCACTTTTGTAACGTTAACATGGTAGATGATACTTCATGGTTACAAGTTACATAACGATATGTTCAATACTGTATTATTTTTTTCACATGTATTGGTTTAATATTTACCATAGAAAAACATTGTGCAAATACACTCAAATACAACATTGTAAATCCCTACCTAACCGATTTTCCTTACCAAAATAAAGAAAACCTAATGCATATTGAGTTCGAACAAATATTTAATATTCAACATATTTCTTACTTTAAGAAAAAATGAATAAAAGTTGAGAAAATCTAAATTGTATTATCCATAATTAATCACGTTACAACTTTGTTATAAAGCTTAATTAAATTTCAGCAGAAAAACGCAATGTGCATGAGAGCAATTACGAGTTTATCTTTGCGAGGAGGTTTTGTTGGGGAAACTGATAAAGGATGCAGTCAGACCACCACCGCAACAATAAATAACACACACCAATTAAGCTTAATGAGAAACAGGTTGGCCAGCCGCGACTGACTACGTTTTTGTGGTTCTAACCCTCATTACATCTTGGCCAGGGATTCCCTCCCTTTTAGCTTCCACCATCATAACTTAAGACTCAATTTTGGTATGAATATGCATTTTTTATGAGTTTGTTTTTGTACTAAATGTAATTAGTTTCTGATTTAATTACATGTTTATTGTTTGCTTCCTTTTAACACATATCTCTATGGTTGGTATGCCCTTGGGATTTTGTGGGAACTGCACTCTTATTAGGACATAATTTAACTGTTTTACGACTTAAATGTTAATAAATTACATTAAAGTTTTATATTTTAGTTTAAGTAGAAATATTAAGGTTGCTTTTGTTTTCATCCTTGATTCTAAATTCACTTTATAAACTATTTGTAATTAGCTTGATTTTCACAATGTGATACAATGGCCACATACATTTTAATAGAACCTTTTTTATCAGTAGGCCTAAATTACAAAAATAACTTTAGAAAGAGCTTGGACGTAATTCATGTAACTACCTTAAAACTAGATTTGTTCTTAAAAGTACTGCAAATAATTGGTACCCCCAAAAACATTTTTAACTTTATCTTTGACGTTTTAGTACGTGAATATTTGCGTTATAAAATAATTCACTCACCTTACACTGATTGATGACAATGACAAGATAGCTACCTACATATATATTTTTTTACAATTTTTCTGGGTTTTTTCTGTTTTTAGGAAAGTAGTGGTGGAGGAGTAGGCTCTCCTAGAAGTTTGAGAATTGGAGCTCAGGGACCAAAGGGAGAACCAGGACTGCGTGGGGAAAAGGGGGACAAGGGGGTTGATGGTAGTAGAGGAGAAAAGGGGGACAGAGTGAGTATTAATTTATACATTACTTTAGTAGCAGCACGTAAGATAAAATACTAATTTGCGAAGTAAAACATGTGAAAGCTAACTAGCTTTACTTCTGTTATTTATTGTTTCATAATTATTTTCAGAATAATTTAATGTTCTTTCATATTTTTACGGAATTATTGTGTATTTATTGTAAAACCGAGGGGGGGGGGTTATAAGTCATAGGTGTAATAGTTTTTGGCAAACCATAAAAGGGGAAATTAACTTAATTTGCTTAGTAAGCTATAAAGTGTTAATATAAAAACTATTCATTCGCAAGTAAATTCCATGAGTATTATTATTTTTGGAGTGGTAAGACATCGGACAATTTCAGATAAAAACTTTAAATTTTTTTTTATATACATGTATAAAGAATCTTAAAAAGGGTCTTTTTCTACTAACCTATGATCTATACGAATAGTTTTCATACCCTCATTTCTAGTTAAAGCCTTAACCCTCTTCTCAACCACGTTTATCAGGATAAGTTTATTGATCATATTAAATCAAAACTATTTCCCTCAGTAGGCTTATTTTAAAGATAAGATTTAAGCAATACACACACTTGATCCGAAAGCAATAATAGAAAGAATAATAGATGATGTTTTGTATTACTTTATGAGGTTTTATTGTGTGTTTTATTGTGTGTTTTACATGGCATTTTATTATTCAGGGCTTTGCCGGGATGCAAGGAGTTAAAGGGGAGCCTGGAATTCCCGGCCTGGATGGTTTACCCGGATTACCGGGATTAAACGGGAGACCTGGAAGTAAAGGGGAGAAAGGTAATAACTTGGGTTTTTCTTTACTTATGAAATGACAATTGAAAAACACATTAAACTTTATTTTACAGGGATCAACTACTACATCTTCTGCTGAAAAAAATGAACTGCTTTTTATTTTGCTAGGTGGATGCTCTTTGTTTATTATCATCATAAAAATAGTTTTTTTTTTGTTATGGAAAATATTTTTTATTTGCCAAGAACTGTTAGTTTTTTTTTTCTGGTTTGGATAGAAAGTACTTTACTGGTTACTATTCGTTTGTATTTTCACAACTAATTAAACGCAATAATATATTTGTAAAATTTTGTCTTTTACTATTATAAACCAAGAGTGATGCACAAATTGTAAAATACACCCTTAAATAAAGGAGAAATATTTCACATTCGTATACGCCTTTGCAATATAACATAACTTACATAAATGACTTCAGATTCTACAATAAGATTCGAAGAACAACTATCTAAAAATGAAGAATTTTGAGATAAAACTTATATGACATACTCTCCCTAATTTTTACGGTCTAGCAGTAATATCTACTATGGTAAGTTATCTGATATATTTCTTTGAAACTTAAACACTATGACACACAACAATGTGCTAAATGCAGATATCTTTATTAAGTACTACCGTAGATAAAGTAATATAATTATATTACTTCATCTATGGTAGTACACAGATATATTGGTTTTGCTAACATAAATTGGAAATAATTAAGAAGTACACCTCTCATCTTATTATAAAATCTCAATCCTGTTTTAGTTGTGTTTTGTTATAAAGACTAATGATTAGTATTAAAATACAGTTTATTATTGTATCCATCTCATTTTAGCATGCATTTATATTGTATATTTTACTCTATAGTTGATTGGTCCAGCTTGACAAGCAACAGTTTAAAATGTTCATAGTTTTGTTTCGTTTTCGTAATCATTAAATTACTGAAAAATGAAACATGAAATTAATGTAAACAAGTAGAATGTGCCTGACGCCCCCTTGATCCAGACAACTATTGAATTAAGTTTTTTTGTTACAATATTCAACCCAAAAGGTTTATTTTTAATATTTAAGTGTTTTGCCAATTAACTAATATCGAAATACTCCTAAGTAAGCAATGGGAAGTGCTCAGTCAACAAATTAGTTCTTAACAGCCCAATTAACTTTTAAAAATACATTCCTTATCAAGTTATAAGCACTCAGCTTCTACTTGTGAAGTGTATTTAGTCTATTACCGTACTTCAATATCTTCTTCCAGAGCTTGTTAAAGACTTATTCCTATTTTGCAATTCACTTCAACCATCACAATTAAATAAACACTACAATCCAATTAGTTTAGAATTATTGCTATTATTGATTTTTTATTTTGAAATTTTCTTAAATGTATGTTAAAATAATTTGTCTTGTAACCTAATTAAAATTGTTTGACTATAAGACCTGTCTTATACTTAAACCTAGTTTTTTAGTTGAAATTAGTTATTTTGGACATCTTTATTCATTTTCCAAAGGTATGAAAAGAATTCAGACCAACATTACTCATAGCATAGTTTACAACATTTAATAATTGGTTCTGTCTGTTTACCTCAATAATTAAGAATGTTTACATACCGTGTTTCAAAGACTCCGGATACATGTGTTATTTCATTTCCTATGTTCCAGGCGACACTGGGGTCCCCGGTCCTCCCGGTCCTCCAGGAACTGTGGCACAAATGATGACATTAGACGAAGATGGAACTATTCTTACAGGTAAATATTTTCTGGGTAATTTATATTGGTACCACAAAGTGTGTAAGATAAAATATTGTTTCATATCCATCTTCCCTTGGTAATCTTCCATTCAGTATATCAAGTTGTGTCCCTGCTTGTAGTTCTAGGGTTATTGTATAAATAATATTATCAGGAATTTAAAAATGTATTGTTGTTAAAAGTTATCAGTATTATTATTTTATTCGGGTATTTATATCCAGTTTTCAAATCACAGAGTAGATCAATAGAGTTTCTATAAACCCTGATAAGCCTTAAGTCTAAAACCCTGACCAATCAAATCTTCTCAACTGGATTACTGTACATCATATGTTTGTGGCCATACTAGTACAGTCATGTATTCAGTAAAAAAACCAAATTTGTCATGTCTCATTTTATATCTTTATTTGGATTTACAAAGATACTCTTTACGTGAAGTGGAACTTAAATAAGAAGACACTTGATAACAAGTGTCATTTTCAATCACACCACAGATTTTACATTTTTCTTCATTAAATTTCATTGCAAACCCCTATAAGAATCAACCTTGATAGCAAGTCTTATTTGATCCTTCTCATGAGAGATTTGCTATCAAGATTTGTTAATGTAAGTATCCTGTCTAAATTAGTATGGTGGCTAACTGGAAAAGCTGTGTGATATGTGTCTGAATTTTTTTGCAGTTTCTCGGGGAGATCCTGGTCCTAAGGGAGAAAGGGGGGAGAAAGGACCTTCAGGGGAGAGGGGTGAACCAGGAGAAAGGGGAATGGCCGGGATACCCGGACCAAGGGGGCCTCAGGTACATCTCTTATGAGTATCTCTTACGTTTTGATAGTTTAAAACTGTAGAGATAATTCTCACAACCCATTTGGTGACCAGAGTTTGTTAAAAGTACAAATCAAACAAAGTATTTTTTTTTTTTTACATTTCAAAGAGTTACTCCTACACTGGAACACAATATTGTATGGTTAAAGCAGGAGCAAAGGTGTAATTGACTTTATTTAAACCCTCCAATCACAATAAAACAATGCTTTCACCAGTATTGAATGACGAATCAGATAAAACTTTAAAATAAACTTTTTGAGTTTCCGTTCTTTATATCAGTAACAAATATACTAAAATCATCTCACCCAACCCATATAGACTGGCAGTCCAGTCATGTTTTTATTTTAAACCATATCCCTAAATCTTAATCTGAGGAAAAAATTTAATCAAATCACACTTTCTTTTAATTTTTTTAAATATAAAACCCCCCAAAAAAAAGCATCATAAAAAAGCATAAAAACATAAAAGCAAGGAAAAAAAGCATAAGCATAAGTATAAAAGCATTTTAGTTGCATCTTGTCCTCTTTTATAGATTTAAATGGTAGCTCTTTTATTATAATAGTGAGAAAAAAGTTTAAGAGAGAAACCTAAAGACTGCTGCTGTTAAATACTATTTTCTGTCTTTCACATACAATTTTTACATATCTGGAGATCTTATTTAAACAATAGTATCGTTAAAGTTAATTTAATCATCACAGTGTGAAGAAATCAATAATAAGTAAACTGTTGATTGTGTCACACTGAAAATATCCTCAACAAACATTCTTCTTTTATATTTATAAGGAGAATCAAGCTGGTTTTACATTTCGCAGAGGATACGCGTCCGGTAACCGGACGTGGATTAGGCGTCCGGCAGTTACTGTCATAACCTAACCTAACCAACCAAACTTGCTGATAATTAAAAAATCAAATGAAGGTTCAATTCTCTTCATAACATAAAATTATAAATGGCAAAAAGTCTAACAAAAGATGTACAGTTAAGAAGAAATTACATTCAAAGCAAAATCTGTGACAAAAAGTTAAAGTAACCGATGGGTTTCGAACCAGGGACCTCTAGGATATCAGCCGAGCACTCTATCCACTACACCACGAACAACGCTGACCGAACATCGTATCGTTGTGGTAATGGCGTTCCGGGACCCCACAACCCGGTGACGTCACTACCGGACGCCTAATCCATGTCTGGTTACCGGACGCGTATCCTCTGTGTTTACATTTAGATATACATTACATTACATTTGGGATATCTGCTCCAAAGTTATATTAATTCGTTCATTTTAGGGCCCAGAAGGTCCAAAAGGGGAAGCAGGACCGGAAGGACTCCAAGGTCCTGTGGGATCTCCAGGGCCCAAGGGGGACCCAGGACCTCCTGGACCTAGTCTGGTGTCCGATCAAGGGTTTGACCTCCTGGCCATCAAGGGGGACAAGGGCGAGACGGGGAAGAGAGGCAGAAGAGGTAGACCTGGACCTATGGGACCTCCAGGACTACCTGCTCCTACACAAGTTGTGGTGGGTGAAACTTTAGGAGAAAGTGGCTTTTTTTAGCGAATTTCCCATATATGGAATAAGCACTTACCGTAGTACTCATAGGGCTGTAGGACAGAAACCATATTTTTCCAAGTATTGGGACCAACCCCAATAGATTTCTCGTGGCAAAATACCCCATAATAAATAAAAAATGCTCGGACAAAAATAAAAGTTTGCTTGCACATGCGCTTGATTTAGATTATAGGATTTTATAACATAAAGAAACACTATTTCTTTTCCTGTAGCGGCAAACCTAGGTACTAGTTAAACTTAACGGATTAACAGATTAATTGGATGCAATTATACATTTTTTTTTTGTGTTGTTCACTAGTAGCATTGACTATTAGTCAAAGCTAGTAGATAACAATCAAAATTAATAAACCTTAAAACTTAGAGACCTCCATGAAAATTGCAAAAACTTGCAAAAAGAGAACAATATAAAGTAGGTATTATTATTAAAAGTATTTGATCTGTTATCAGTTATGTGCAATCATGAGAAAATTTCCATTACGGTGGATCATTTTAACTTTCAGTTTTTAATGCCTCGTGATTATTCTTCTTTTACTTCACAACAAAGAAATTCATTTCCTTTAGAATTTCATTTTCTGTTCAGTTTCCACAAAACAAGTTATATTCTGGATAAAGTTAAAGTTGTGCGATGAACAGACTTTCTTTAGAAATCAACTTTACGAAAGACCTACCTTGCACTTTAACTTATTCCTGTTGCAGGGTGGCAACTTATCTAATTTAGAAAGTTTCAAGCTCCTTAATAAATCTTTCAATCAAACTGGTTAATATGTTTTACATCATTATAAATTACCTATTAGTTCTATAAATTAGTTATGAATGGATAAAATACTTGATGTTCCTTACCACCAACTGATGAAATGTTAACTTAAATACAGTATTTTAAAAATTGACTTTAAATCTCTTCCCCTGAAATTGTAGTGTAATTATGAACAATATGATTGCTAATTAATGAGCCATTGATTTTCAATATTTAATTGCTACTTAGCAAAGACCTCGTGTCCCTGCAGGTATATATTTTAGTATATGTTTCCCTGGAATTTTAAAACTACTATACTTGAAATTAATCACATAATGACAATAAGATAATTTTTTCATCTTTTGTATTGTCGTTTGATTAAAAACAAAAACTGTGAATGTATAACACTCTAATAGTGTCTAATAGGTTTTGGTTTGGTGTGTGTGTCAAAACCAAATCTCAAATCTTAAAACCACCTAAGCTTGGGAAATGCTTTGGTTTTGGTATTCAATTTTGTGAGTTTCGCAATTCAAAACAAACCTTTGATTCAATTAAGTACCGTTCTTATATTATTATGTCTGTGTCAGAAGTTGAATTTATCTCAATGTTAGTTGTTTATAAGAAATGAGGATCTTTTAAGTTTAAACCATGTTATTATATTAGAGTCAGGGGGTATATTTTTTTTAGTTTTGATTGCATAACCATAACATTTACAAATTTTTCATTACTTCCTGTATTTTTTTACTCTTTCCAAGCAAGTAAACAAATTTTGTATTTAGGTTTCAAGATTCAGGATTTGAGTTTCAGTTTCAGTTTTGAGATTCAACATTTCTGGGTTTGTCCATCACTACTTCCTAGTTAGCTAAAGGGTTATCTTATTGTGGTATTTTTTTTTAGTATGTCGTTATGTTTTTGTTTTTGTTCTGGTTTGTTTGTTTTTGGATTTTCTCATAGCAGTCTCAACACCTTGAAGCATTGCTTCATACAATCATTGAATATATATACCTACAGTGTGCGAGAGAGAGCACAGATATCCTACTATCGCGCGCCTACCAGCAGCTTACATCAACTACTTGCTCCCGAGACCTGGCTCACACTACTACCGGCCCATAAGCCTGGGATGTCTTCTGTAGGTATATATAGTCAATGATACAATCTTGTTTCTGCCCACAGATGAAAGGTGAGAAGGGGGAGAGAGGGATGGACGGTAACCCAGGTCCTGCGGGACTTCCAGGACTTCCTGCTGGAAGTGGAGTACAGTATGTTCCTGTTCCAGGACCCCCCGGACCACCCGGACCCCCCGGCCCTCCGGTATGTTCTGGAAGCTTAGACATGATTTTGAAGCTATTTATTTTGGTAGTCCTGAATGGAACTCATCTTATTTTTATGTGAAAGTACTGGTCTTACCATACTAGTAATTTTAAATACCAACTTGTGGAAAACAACTTGGGAGTTCAGTAATAACAATAACACTATTAACAAAATCAGCAACTAGCTACTTGCTTAAAGACTATTGACATTACTAGACATTCCATCTCCATGTTATAGCTGTCACCAGTTTTATAATGAAAATGAACATACTGTACTTGAATTGAGCCATTGAGCCACCAACAGAGTTATTACATGACACAATTACTGAGACAATTACTGAATTCTGTTTATTACGTTTACTTATTAACTAAGTAGATATGGCGATGATATGATTTGATTATTACTAAGTAAGATATCACACGACGTCTTTGTTGTAGGCTGTGGTATTTTATAAGTCCTAAGTCCATCTACCCCCAAAAACACATCCTAAGGTAGAAAATAGAATTTTATACTGGAGCACCTTCTGTAACTAGCTCATTAAACTATGTTGTTTTTGAAAAAAATTAGTGTCACTTTTAAACTAAATTTACAAGTTATTAATCATATATAATTTTATTTACCAGGGAAGCACTGTACCTACAAACTCATCTTTCAGATCAAAATTCAAGGATCGTCCATCTTTTGATAGGTTGGGTAAGTAACAATTCATATGTTCATAGTAATAGAAAAATTAAAGATAGGTATATTAAAAATTTGTATCGTAGTTTGCATCCAATCCTCCTCAAATTCTCAATATTCCTCCCCATTCACCATATGGATCCCTATAATTGGTATACTTTCCACTTTCCACATTTTTTTATCACAAAACTTTGTTATTTGCTTCATTTTCTGAAAATCCAGAAAACTGAACAAAAAGTATATATATATATATATATATATATATATATAACAATAACACAAGTTTGAATCCAGCTTAATACAAACAAACAATTGAAATTTTCCCACTGATGTATCAAAGGAAGGATTTAGGCAGAACATTTTGTCGCAAATGTGTGAGAGAGTCATGATGTCTCTGTGATCGTTGAAGATGATTATGTACAGTATCCCCCAAAATTATTTACCTGCATGGTTTTATACTAATGGTTACCAAAATTGCTATGGTGATGTACCTCATGTATTGTTAAGTTATCTTGGTAAAAAATAAACTGTTGTTGCTGCTTGTTTGCCCATAACTTTGTATTAGTCAATGATCCAAACTTAGTACATAAAGTAGTTAAATTTAATTACTATTTATTCAAAATTATCTTTAAATAAATTCTTTTTGTTCACTATCATGTGTGGAATTTAGGAACATCATTTGTCCATGTCTCTTTAGATGGACGAATGGGATCCTTTGAAGAATTGAAGGCATTAAATGAATTAAAACAGCTCAAAGAAGAAAGATATAGAGGTAAGCTGCATAGTTTCATTTAAAATTGTCTTGCCTTGAGAATTGGGCTATTGAAACTCAGAAACGGTTTTGAAACATTTTTAAACCTTTAAACTAAATAGCACCCTAGCATAATGTAAAAGGACATTAGTGAAGTATTGGATGGTTATTGGCTTATTAGTACACTATAGTGTTTTTCCTTTTTTTTTAAGCTGTGTGCCACCTCCCCCAACCGAATGTTCACCAAGTTTCACTTGGATACTATGATAATAAAGGATGTTTTTCATATGAATCAAAGCAATAGTGTTATATTAAATTTTCTACTTTCCTTGGTTTGTTATAAATCTCAATCTTCGCTGAATCACTTATTCTGTCCATTTACCATTACTGAAACTGATTAAACAATCAATCATCAAATTAATAAAAACACTACGTCTTTAAACAATACCTCTAGCAAATGTCAAACTTCACTAAAACAATGAAAACCGCTACAAGCTAAACGAAGAGAAACGTGATTTCGACTAAATGTTTGGTCTGGGAGCGAATTTTTTACAACCAAAAACAGCTTCATGCCACTACCCCCACCACAATGCTCAGAATGTTCGAGAAGGCGTCTCCACCAAAAGACCAAACAATGTTCGACAGACATCACAAATGTTATTTGGTGTTGTAAGTTTGGTTGATGATGGGGACGCGGCATGAGAATTGCATCTTTGTATAATGTAGATACCTATATTTTTTTATTATTTAATATAAGTGTTAGTCTGTTCTGTACTCCTACTTTCTAAATGGCGCTGATCATTGATGAATTGATCAATAATACAATAATGAGATAAATGAGGAACAGGGCAAGGCACTGGTTCCTACTTGTTTGTTTCTGTGTTCTGGGCTTAGTACAAAGCAACGAGTGTGTGTGTAAGATGCAGGCAAACCCACCCATTTACAATGGATCTAGGTAGGCCTATTCTAGAGGTTAAATATCTTGATGCCAACATAAATGTAAACCTTGTTCGTTGGAATGCAACCGGATTTGACATATTTAAGGTGTCAATATCAAGCACCTTAAATACGTTCTCAGACGTTGTTGTCGCTCCTAGGAGGGCGTTAACCAAAACATTCCAACGACCAAGGATTATATAAGCCAAGCAACAAGGTACATAACCTCTAGAATAACAATTTCATATATTTATGCCTTATAATATGGACAACATTCTTCTAATTTCTACAGTATGAAATGTACAACAATAATGATTATATTTTACAGGCCCCTTCTCATCTCCCAGAAGGCAGATCAATGAAACCAAAGTTGTGCCAGGAGCAGTTACTTTCCCTACCAAAGCTGCTATGTCTAGTGTGAGTTCATTTGTTAGAAAGTCAGAAAGGAATAATAACTCTTTCTTAACCCTGGACATTCAAAGGCCAAAGTATTGGACATCAAGGGTAACATGCAAATTTTAATTTACAATTCTTATTGCAAAGAACTCAACAAAAAGTACTGAAAATTTAACCTGAAATGTACAACCAGGTAGTCAACACTTTAGAAGTACTTCTTATTTTGGCTTTGGGGCTTACCGATATTAATTAGTTACCGTTATGTCAAAGAAATAGCCAAGTGGTGTCATATATGTCTATTCAGCTAAAAGACAGTACCGTACCATGGATTGAGATTGAATAACTTGTCGCTCTGAGTCTCTGTGCAGTGCCGGATTTAGGGTACTTGCGGCCCTAGGCCAAATTACTTGAGCGGCCCTCCTCCTGTGGTGGAAATTCCGTACGATAGTGGAAATAATCATGAATATCTCCTATGCATCAAGGGGTCATCACCATCGACACCCGTGATCGTTGATGAAATTGTGGACATCTCTCCTAAACCAAGTCAAAGCCATGATAGGTATCCGTGACCGCGGCAAAATCGTAAACATCCCCCGCGGGCTGCAAAAAAGGGACATCATCCTCGACACTCGCAACATCAGCGGAATCCTGATCATATCCCATGAGGTGTGAACTTGAGGACATCATCACCGTCACCCGCGACCGCATCAGTAAAATTGTGAACATCTCCCGTGAGCCGTAATCATGGGGACATCATCATCGACACTCGCGACCGTGGCAAAATCGTAAACATCTCCTGCGAAGCATCAATCACGGGGACATCATCATCGACACTTGCGATCGCGGCAAAGTCGTGTTAAAAACTTCTCCCGTGGACTACGATCATGAGGACATCATCATTGTAAACCGCGACCATGTCCAAATCGTAAACATCCCCCTCGGGAAGCCATCACGGGGACATCCTCATTGACACCCCCAGCCGCGGCAAAATCGTTACCATCTCCCGTGAGCCGCAATATCCGGAACATCATCATCGACTTTTGCAACTGCGGCTAATTCTTTAACGTCTCCCGCGGGCCGCAATCACGGGGACATCATCAACGGCACCCGCGGCCGCGGCAAAATCATGAACATCTCACTCGGTCCGCGGAGACATCATTATGGACACCTGTGATCGCGGCAAACTGGTGGTTTAAAATAAATTATTTTTTATCTAAAAAAAATGTTTTTCTCGATCCGCTGCGGCCCCCTTTTGCTTGCCGCGGCCTAGTGGTAAATCCGGCACTGTCTCTGTGTTTTAGTAGTAGTAAGGATGGATATTCGGATGCGAGTTGCACCTTAAAATCAGGGACAGCAATACTATTTGCCCATACTTGCCACAGAAAACTTGATTTAAAAGAATTTGGATGTTTGCTGTTCAAAAGATATCTCTAAAAAATGTATTTAGGGAGCAAGCTGGTCTACTGGTAGAGCGTGGGACTTCGGTCCCTGAGGTCCCGGGTTAAAAATTCCACCAAATCACAATGGATTTGATCTAAGTGAAAATTCCACAAACCCAAGGGTATAATTCCTGTAGTAATGTGAAAAACACTCCTGGGCTCGTACATAGCGTCTTAGTAAAGAAAATTTCACAAGATAAATTAAGATTAAAAATAATAAAAATATGCATGATATAATCATTAATTAATTATTGACTATGAGCAGCTATGAAGAGCAGAAAAATCTTCTGTAGCCAATCAAAAAGCATTTGTCACCTTACATTAAGCTGTAATTTTGAAAACAATTACAAATCACTCTATCCACCTACCATAAAATTTACCTTTAAAACATCATGTAATTATAATGCTGTTTGCTAAGAATCTAACCGTCAGTTTTTGTGTTACATTGACTAATTCTAGCATCTGATTGGCAGATGTCAGTGGTAAGCCCAGTTGGAACTCTGGCATACGTTATAGATGAAGAGGCACTCCTAGTCAGGGTGAGAAACGGCTGGCAGTATGTGGCTGTGAGTATGTCTTCCTTGGTAAAAAAAATACCAAAAGTGTATCCTCTGTTGTGGAATTTTGATTTGATCAAAAAAGAAGTATTGATATTAAAATGGTAGTCCCACTTGAATAGTTGACCGAAAATGCACATGCGGTAACATTTTTACGAAGTTGACATGTCTACCTTTGTCTATAGCTATCTTTCTAAAATTTTAAAGCTGGGTTTTCTAGGCGCAGAAGTGGAGAGTGGAGTCTGACCTCAAAACGAAAAAGTAAATCGGTCCCGGGTCTAGGTCTTACCATGAGACCTACGGTAATAGCTTATCCCCTATATGGGAAATTGGAAATTCGCCAATAGATCTTGTTGCAACAAAATCCTGTTTGCGTTGCATTATCTGGGTTTCGGAGTTAAAGCTACCCACATGTTATAATTTGTATGGTCAATCGTTTACTATGGTTCACTAGTCTGAGCTACAGCCCTTTATTAAAATGATTTATTTGGGACCTGGAAGCCCAATTAGATTTCCAGAAGTGTTACTAACACCAGTTTCTAAAAAAATATACATCTATACTTATTTAATACGCAAGCAGGTTTTTTGTGACAATTACTCCTCCGAAACTACTGAACCGATTGACATGTTCTTGGTGTCATTGAAAGGAGCGTAACGTGAAGTTGTGCAGGAAACTTTCTTTTTAGGGAAATAATTAGAGGGCGAGGCCCTGGGGCCCTTTAAAGTTTCGTATTTATCCATAAGATTAACATGGGAAACAAATATTGTTATGAAACTCCAGCTGTTGTCAGAAATTAAAAGTGAGAAGAAGAACATATGTTATTGTAAACAGTCAATAAGTTTTCTAATTTAACAGTTAGTTTGTTACAAACATTTACTTACTTGGTTGAAATGAAATATTTACTATTTGAATTTGGGTTAGCGTAAATATTACAATGAAAAAAATAAACGAGAGAGCCTGGATAAATTGATATACTAAAAAGAAAACTGAATTAACACTGTGCAGCATTTCTTAGTAATCATTGAAAGAGCCGATTTGCAAACTATGGAAACATAGAAAAGTCATAGAACAGCACCAAGGAGAAGAAATAGTATATTTACAAGAAATGTTGATTATATCAATCTGTTATTTACATCTTGAGTATTCCATAGTCTTTAAGTCGCATCTTTTAAAGTCATCAAAAATTATGACTGTTATTCGTTTTAAAATAACGCCTATAATACATAGCAATTGCTCGATTTCGAGCAACAGGGACACTAGTATGAATTTATATAGATGAACTATTTATCTGTGGACATGGACAACACCAAAAGATGATTTTGGCTTGTTTGACCCTAAGAAAAGTTAAAAGCGTTAGATTTAAAAGTGAATCCAGCTCTTCTTGAATGTTATGTTATTTCCTCCTATCCTCATTTTCCTATCCTCCGACTCCTTAATTGTGGCCTTACAATTTCTATGGATCCATATTTTGGATATTTATGTAGAAATATTGTACCAAAGATTACAAATGCTATACAAAATTGCCGTAAGGTGCAATATCTATTTTGTGTAGCATATGTAATCTTTGATTATACTTTAAAGTAGCCGTAATAGATTTTCTTAGTCTGTAATGCATTGTTCATCCCCAGCAGGGTAAACAATCCATGAATTCTCTAACCAAACCATTCAAAGGTTTGGTAACTAAAACGGTAGAATCAAAATTAAAATTAGCATCTAAGCTAGAATCTGATTTGTGATGGTGTTGGTACATTACTCATAATGCATATTATACATTTTTGTAGGGTAACTTATTAGTTGTGATCCAAAGTTTGTTTGTACAGTAATGGAGTTGACCACAGCTATTTATTAACAATTCCAAGACAAATACAGGAACCAGTAACTGAAAGTGAAAATTCTATAAAGTGTCAGATTCAAATTAAAAATAATTTGTGTTGGATAGTAACTTACCTTACCTTTGACTATTCATACAAAAGATGCATAGATAACATTTCTATACAGTGTACAACATGCTGCAGAGACCTTGCTTTGGAATCCTAAGTAACCCTGTACAATCCCATGAAATTATTGAGAACATTCCTTAAGTTCCTAACCAAACAGCTAACCTATTAAAACTTAAGAAACATTTAAAGAACTGACTTAAGTTTGAAAGTGGGTCCATTTGTCCTTGATCATTGGTCGTTTAGTAATAATGATGCTGGTTCAAGAACCAATTGATTTCAGTTGATTACGAAGTAGTTGTCTTATTCTTATTAACAGTCATTGCCTTAAAATACGCTCCCTGGTATGAGCGTAGTTAAAATCTAATATCTATCGGTAAAGGGTGGTTTAAGCAATAGTGCAGACATAATAACGTGCGAATGAAGAGATTTCTTTACCACAGAAACCACGGATAGAGTTTTCCCATACAAATTTTTCTTCAGTATCCAATTAGTCAATGATAATACTATTTTGTTGTAGTAGTTTTGTTCCAAAGCTTATGATAGATTGTTTACTATCTAGGGTCAACAATTCACGATTGGTAATAGAAGGTAACACATAGTTGTAGCTCATATGGTATCCTTTTTCTGGTCCAATGCCCTTGATGGTTTGTCCACAGCTGGGGTCCCTGGTACCAGTGACTACTGAAGTTCCACCTTCCACTACACCTGCAGACCATCATGTACATCAGCCTGTCTTTGAAACATCCAACCTACTCAACCTGCCACATCATGTGGAATCTCATCAGGTGAGGATATTGCTTTGATGGTAGATACACTACCACAAACTATACAATATTTCCCTTTAAATGTGGCCATCAGTTATACGTGAGTAGATGTAGAACCACTGTTAGAGAGTGTGGCTTGTGTAATAGCTATTTACCTTACATAAGTGTAGTAAGAGCCTTTTTACATCAAATTTACCGAAGTGATGTAAACACGCTCTTGCGTAACGTGTAACGTACAAGATTTTACCTCACCCGACAATATACAGGAGGTTACGAACAATATTTTTCATTATCCATTTCACTCATCTTCTAACAGTAACGTTCATTTACAAACAAAAGCTAGGTTAGGAAAATTCTTCAAAACATAACAATAAAATTCAAGCACACAGCTGATTTCTAGCGTTGAACGTCGTTGCCTCCATAGAGGTATATTTTTTAAGTTAAGCATTCAATGTTATTTAAATGGGTTTCATTACATCACCGAGTGAGTTTTTTTCAACTTTATATCACTCGAGAAGTAACGAAGTTATATACATCACGCTTGGGATAGGGAAGTTTAACATGGCGGGTTAGGTAAAATAATTATTTTATCACTCTGCTATTAAAATAATAGATTTCTGTACAGCTGACATTTTGTCTGTCCTAAACATAACTTTACCTAACCTGCCATGTTAAATTATCCCCATCCCAAGCGTGATGTATACAACTTCTTTACTTCACAAGTGAAGTAAAGTTTCAAAAACTCACTCGGTGAAGTAATAAAACCCATTTAAATAACATTGAGTGCTCAACTAAAAAAATATAGGCTACCTCTATGGATCCAACGACGTTCAACGCTAGAAATCAGCTGTGCGCTTGAATTTTATTGTTATGCTTTAAAGTATTTTCCTAACCTAGCTTTTTTTGTAAAAGAACGTAACTGTTAGAAGATTAGTGAAATGGATACCGGTAATGAAAAATGTTGTAAGTAACCCCCTGTATATTGTCAGGTCAGGCAAAATTTTTTACGTTACACGTTACGCAAGAGCGTGTTTACATCACTTAGGTGAATGTTGTGCAACTCGCTTCAGCTCGTTGCACAACATTCACCTGCGTGATGTAAAAGCACTCTTACTACACTTGTAATGTAAATAGCTATTTCCTGGTCCAAACAGTACTTTTCCTGTCCCAACCAAAAACAAAATTCCCTTTTAGCTTAACAGGAGCACTATACTCTGTTCACAAAATTAAGGCAGTTTTAGAGGATAAAATTTATTCCCTCCTCTTGAACCTATACCTTTAAAACAATAGCTCAACAGCTGAGGTTTTCCAAAACGTTAATTTAGCTGCAACATACTTTTAGCTTAACCTCGCTTGTAAACTACTATCTTGCCCCAAAAATCTAAATTGGTCCCTTTCGGGACTAGTAGTTACTTATACTGTTTCCTTTGTTAACACCTATTTATTACTTTTCCTCACTATGGGATTCGTTTTTTTATGCACCCATCAATGAGTATATAATAACACACTCGGGAGCTAAAGCTGCTAGAAGCTCAAACAGAATATATTGAATATCTACTTCAGTATCTAGAGTTCATGGTAAGTACTGTGAATAGTTTAAGTAGGTTTCCAAATTCTAATGTAAACTCTGGAGCACTGTATCAAAATGTCCCAAGGGATATTGAACAGTTTATTTAACAATTTAAATCTTCAATATCCGGTAGTAGGAAAATGAACTCTGAAATATCACAGTTTTAATGTGTGTTTTATGTTGCTTATGTTTGAGTGTGCTAATATCCATTCTTATACTATTTTATATTTAAATATCTTAGGGTTTATTGTAAAAAGTGTGCTCCACTCTTTGGTTATGAACAATTGCTGTGCATTGTGACCATCAGCATATTAGGCCAACTATAATATTATTTTGCTTTCACGCTTTCAGACTTACCCGAGAATGGTAAGTATTATTGCTTTTTACTGAGTTCTAGTTGTTTTGGTGAATGGTTCATGTTATAGAGGGTGACAAAAAAATCTGGAAACGGATTAATATCTTTTTAACTAAATCCGTTAGAAAATTCAAAACTTATACATAAATTGATATAAATATGAAAACTACTTTTTACAAGAATTGTCATTTTTTGAACTCTACCCACAGGGGACGAACCATCAGGAGTACATAATCTTTAATGTAAGCATAGGTTGGATATGCACATATTTTTAAAGGGCTTGTCAACTGGAGTTCATTGCGTCTCATTGGTTCATCCGTTACAAAATGGCGGATGTCCAAAGTTCTTGTGGAAAATACCTGCACAGGCCTTAAATACTTGTAGTCAACATTAGCTATAGAGAGGTGACACTGACTCCTCATGGTCCGTCCCCATCAAAGGTTGAAATTCAAAGTGACTAATATAATTTAATTTTCAAAACAAATTAACCAGGCTTCATCTCTCTAGCTAATGTTGACTGCAAGTATTTAAGGCCTGTGCAGGTATTTTCCACAAGAACTTTGGACATCCGCCATTTTGTAACGGATGAACCTTTTGAGACGCAATGAACTCCAGTTGACAAGCCCTTTAAAAATATGTGCATATCAACCTATGCTTACATTAAGGAATATGTACCTACTCCTAATGGGTCGTCCCCTAGTAGAGTTCAAAATAATGGTAATGCTTGCAAAAAGTAGTTTGTTCATACATATAAGTTTATGTGAAAGGTTTGAATTTTCTAACGGATTTAGTTAAAAACACATTAATCTGTTTCCAGACATTTTTGCCACCTTGTATATTTTTTTTATAGAATAAGCATTAAAAATCTGGAAGTATAATTACAACTTTTGATTAGGATAAGTAAACACTCTTGGCTCATTCAGAAAGTAACCTCCATTTGAACACAACAGCTAGGGATGCTTTAATAAATGTAGCCCCAAAGGCACAAGAGGGTTCCCTCTTTATGTAGGTGAAGAGGCGCATATCTCACAGGCCCATAGTGCATCACATGCAAACTGCAGGTCTGGAACACAATGTTGGAAGTAATGAGTGTAGCGGGGACGTTCAATACAGCCTTATGTGGCAGGTTATTTGGAGTCCAGCCGTGGTTGTGTATGGGGAACACTTATTTCAATTTTGAAGCGCCGCAAAATGTGTAAACTAGTTTAAATACCACCAACTTAGTTGTTGTAAGATTTCCAACATCAAAAAAGTATACATCTGCAGTCATTCATCAGAAATATTGTTCAATATGGACCAAATGTGATGAGCAAAGGAGTAGATTGTGAATCTGTTCAGTAAAGCCATACAAAACAACCGCCTCAAAATGCTGACATCCGCTGTTGTGCTAATAAGCATGAAAATAGCCCCCAGTAAATAACATCTCTTTCTTGCATATGATGAAAAATTGGCTGGTAACTATATTTAACTTTATTATTATTACTATCTCAGTAATTCTGTAATGATTAAGAACTGAAAGATATCGTTGTATTAAGGCTCAGACAATATTTTAACGTTTTTAAATAGTAGTTTACACAACGATTGCGTAAAGATAGTGTTAATGACACGAGTAGAAAATTTAAGGTACGAGCCTTGGCGAGTGCCTTAAAAACTTCTACAAGTGTCGTTAACACTATTTACGCGAGTTGCATACACTACTTTATCTACGACGGTGTTTTAATTACTCAAAATCACTACTCATAACTTCTTATTAGAGGTTATGGTTTTGTTTATAACCTCTAATTGCCACTGACAGTGATGCAACGAAACATTGTATCAAATACTAATTGCACCAATCAACAATTAAATTGACCTGAACAGCTGATTAGTTGAATTTTGAATCATTACAATTCTGCTTCTCCTCTCTCAATCCTTGAACCTCATTGGTCCGTTTCCGTTACCCGTGTTGTTATGAGTAAAACTATGCTGTTATGAAAGTAAACAATGCTGTTATGAGATACTTTTCAATTCTAAGAACTGTATAAGAAACGGCTACTTTAAAAAGCGGTCGTAGGTAAAATGTATTACAGTTGCTTGAATATGTGTGATCATGTTCAAAGTATGTGATCATGATACAAATGTGTATCATGTTGATGTATAAAGTAATGATTTGGTTTTCAAATGTGTATAATGATTGGTTTTTTACATAGTTGTTCTTCATATAAATGATTGGAAGTTACATTCTGAGCAACATTCGTATATCCAATAATTAATTATAATCAAACAAAACTCTGTCCTTGATGGGTTTAGAGGGGTAACCATCAACACCAAACATTTACATTCGATCCTTTTTAGGACAAATTTCAGTTCCAATCAGTGGCGGATCCAGCTTTAGATTGAGGGGGCCAGATTACTGGTGAAGCCCCCCACATCATCATTGTCTCCCACGGTCACGGCAGAACCCTGACTAACCCCCGCGTTAACGGAACATTACCACCGTCTTCTGCAATAGCGGCAAAATCATGAACAATACCCACACTCCTGATGTAGACATTGTTGTTGCCTTCTGCTTTTGCAACTAAATTCTGATCATCTCAAGATCCCACAGTCATGAAAACATCAACATCGTCTTCTCTGATCGCAGCAAAATTTGTTTCATTTCCCGCAAACCCGGAGTCGTATAGACACACCATCATTGTCCCCTTCGTTCGCGGCAAAATCCTGAATAACCCCTGTGGTAACTAACACCATATCTGTATTCTGTGATTGCGGCAAAATTATGAACATCTCCCGTGGCCGTGTAGACATTATCGTTGATTATCGTTGTCTGTTCGCGGCTAAATTCTGATCATCTCCCAGGGCCATGTAGACATCATACACTCGTTTCCCACAGTCACAGAAACATCATCATAGTCTTCCACGATCTCGGCATAATTCTGATCATTTCCTGCAGCTGTGTAGACATCGTCATTGTCTCCCGCGGTCACAGCAAAACACCGAATAATCTCCGCAATGGAACATCATCATCGTCTCTCAAGATCTGGGCAAATTATTGTCCATTTCCCGCAGTCGTGTGGACATCCTCATTCTCCCGTGGTCACGGCAAAACCCTGAATAGCCCACGAGGTAATGGAACATCATCATCGTCTTTGCTGATCGCGTCAAAATTTTGACATTACATGTAGTAAAAAAACTAAATGCCTGATGGGGGTTAGCTCCCTTCCCCCATCCTTCTGGATTCGCCAATGGTTCCAATCAAAACTTGTCATCAACTCCAACACATTATATTTACTAACATGCATTACTTATCTGACTATACTCCGTTCACAAATTGTAGCAGGGGAAAAGATCCATCCCCTCCATTTGATCCTACCTTTAAAACAATAGCTGAGATTTACCAAAACGTTAATCAGCAGCAACATATACATTAAGAAAAATAGTAGTGAGGGAACTTCGCCTCAAACCACCTCAATTTTGTGAACGGACTATAGCTTAGTAGTTATATGGCTTGTTGAGCTTGCCTAAAAAACCAGCATGTCACTGGCTCGACACCTTTCGATGGTTTGAATCTGTTAAGCCCCCCATACACGGCCACGAGCCTGTTGGCGGACACGCTCACGCATACTTGCTTGCCGCCACCGCACAGTAGGCCTACTCTTGCTTCTCTCGTGCTGTGACAGTCCGACAAGCCGATTGCAGAGCCCAACATGCTCGCCGGTACGAAGCCTCGCAGACCCCTCACACGGGCGAGCATGTTCGCCGCCAACACCGTCACGAATATGCTCGCAAACATTCTCGTCCGGTTATGGGGGGCTTAATCATGTCTATGATCAAATTACTTTTGATGGAGTCTTAAAGAAAACAGCTGATTTTAGTCAACTTACTTGTTGTTGCTGCTACACTGATCCTTCACTCCATTCTACATCATCGATATCAACTGAGAAGACACAACTGGGCGTATTTTAACCCAAATATGAGTAAAGGAGTGTAGAATGGAGTGTGTGGCCATGTATGTCTTTTTTACTGACTGAGACCAGCTGCTATTTTATGACAAAAACTCCCCCCTACTCAGACAATGTGTGTCACTGTCTTAATTAAGTGATTATATTACTCACATACAATACCTACCTACTAATTGTTATGCAATGCAGTTAAGGATGGTGGCTCTAAATGAGCCATTTGCTGGAGATCTCAAAGGCCAAGCAGATTACCAATGCTATCGGCAGGCGAGACGGGCCGGTCTCAAGGGGGACTTCAGAGCTTTCCTATCATCGAGGGTTCAAAACATCAACACTCTCGTCCGTTTTGCTGATAGAGATCTACCCATCGTCAACCTGAAGGTATAAACATATGGGTTGGGTTCTAACGATTTAATAGATTGAAAAGCTGAAAAAACATATTCATTGTGCTTATCAGGAATATCAGTATCCACTGAATAATCACATGGAAGAGTGTACACTTTTAATGGAAAATACCACCTGTACACATGGAGTATTTATTGACAATCATCCATAGTTTTCTCACTTGACGCTTGCATTTCTTCTAGGTATTCAGTTTTCAAATTGATAAGTAATTGTGGTTGCCTTTAAAAGCAAATAGTCTTTTATACTATACTATGTCAACTTATTCTCATAAAAATTTTTTTCATTATCATTAGAAACATTTGTAATCGATTAACATTTGAAAACCCAAAATTGTATTGAAAAGTTGCTAAGAACTTTTTAACTGTTTAAAACTGCTAAGCTTCGACAGGCAAAAGTCCATAAAATCTTGGTCTACAGAAACGCTGGTAATGTTAGTGATTTTCTATCGGCCATCACCAGTAGTAGAGAGCCCTGTTAAGGCTCTGAAGATGGTCATCAGCAACTATGCTGAAACGCCAGCCCAAGTTACCTAAAATGACAGGGTTATTTTTTCCGAAGATCAAAAATTATCAAAATAAAGTTTTCTTGATTTCTTGTTAACTAATGGTACTTCACAACTTGTTCCTCACAAAATATTGATAACTCCCACCTATTACTTTGGATGACCAAAGCGTGGACTTTGTTTATTTACAGGGTGACGTTCTATTCAACTCCTGGCAAGACCTGTTTAACGGAGACGGAGCATATTTTCCACAACCGCCCAGAATATACAGCTTCAGTGGGAAAAACATTCTCACAGATTTCTCTTGGTAAGCTCTTTTTAGGTATACTTAAATTTACTTTTAGGTATTTATTGCACAGTAAGATACCAAATAAAAGCTATACATGTATGCAGTGCTCAACTTGCAGCGGAACAAGGAAGAATGTCTTTCCACACACTTTTGAAAAGATAGAAATATTGTCATAAATAGGTATTTAATCAGATTAAATAGGTTACAGTTCCGGCACCTTATTTTTTTACAATCCAGCACTGCATTATGGGTGAATTTCAGAGTAAATATACAGTTCAGTAACAATTGTGTTCTTTGTACTCAAGCATAGTATAACAAATTGTATGCCCTCTTAGCTTAGCAAACCAGCACAGATCGAGTGTAAACCGTTTTCATAGTATTTTGACAGTGACATGTGTTGATTTTATACCTGTTAACTGAATAACATTCTTAACTTTTAGTTGGTTTTAAGGGATTGAAATTTAAAGTCCTGGTTTTGTCTCTATTTGACTTTTGGAGAACCATACTGGGTTAGAATTAGCAGGTCAGAGTCCATAACAAATTGATTTTTTGAGCATGAATTAAATATGTGGTGCTGTTTAAGAATGATCTGTTATAGTTTACTAATCCTACTAATATTATAAGTGAGAAGTTATAAAAAGAACGGCTGGAAAAGTCCTCAAGAAGTTGATCAGTTCCCGGCTGAATTCAGCCTTGGTCGCTGCAGGGGACCTGTCCCCTCGTCAGTATGGATTCAGGATGGGGCGATCTACGGTTGACGCTGTTGAGGAGTTGAAGCAAGCCGTGATGAGAGCTGAGAATTTTAACCACTACTCTCGTAGGGTTGGGCTGCTCGTAACACTCGATGTGCGAGGTGGTGCGATATGCTGGATGCTCTGGAGAACACCTTCCACGTTCCGGCATACCACATGCGATCATAGAGGATTATCTCCGGTTCCGCCTCCTCATGTATGACACTACAGAAGGCCCACGGACGATGAGTGTCACTTCTGGTACCATAGTTTCCCTAGTATTTTTTTACAATTTAAGTTAAGTGTGTAACAATAACTGTGTAGTGATTGGGATTCTGTATGTTTTGTTATGTTTTCTCTAGGCCCAACAAGTACATGTGGCATGGATCTTTAACGTCTGGGGACAGAGCAATGGACTTGTATTGTGATGCCTGGGATTCCGACAGCCATGATAGAGTGGGTTTAGCTTCTCCCTTGGCACAGAACAAACTGCTGGGTCAAGAGAGGTGAGTCTAAATCCAACTTAAAATGTTTTGAATGGAATGCACATTGCAGTAAGCTGCTATACTTTTATTATTATTATCGTCATTATCATTTGAGATGGAACGCCACCTATGTGCGTGTTTTAACCCAAATATGAGTGAAGGATGAGTGTAGAATAGTGTGAGATGATCTGTGTAGCTGTTGCTGACTAAGATCAGTAAAGATTTTAACATTTAAACATCGGATGAAGTATTTGCAACAATAGTCTTATATCTTCTAAGCCAATTTTTTCCAAGTGGAATACTATTTATGTGGTAGTCGATATACAAAAAAGAGGAAATTTCTTTAGATGATTTATTTAGGTATTGGTGTTGTCGGATTGTACTAAAAGCACCAAATCATTTGGATAGGGTATATATTCTTTGATGATGATGAGTTGAATTGATCATTTCATTTAATTTAGGTTTTCCTTATACTAATCAGGCAATATTTAAATGAACTTTATCTATTTTTGTCAAAAAAATATTTGTTAATCAATTAGCTATCAACACACATAAAACTTTAGGATAACTTATAGCCTACATAAGTCCTTTAGTAGGAACTACTTAGCAATTAGCAAGTACCCAATGAAGTCATGAAGTGTCAAGTCATTGATTCAATGTACGATTTGTCCAGATTCCCATGTGACCAACAACTAGCTGTACTGTGCATAGAAACAGACAGTCCTCCATTTAGAGCGAGACGGAGACGAAGCAGACAAAAAGGCAACGACTGACCTTAGGAAAACACACAACCTTCCAGCCAGCCAGCCCAGCAATAACTGGCAGAGCAATGATAAAATGTTGTCAAAAGGAACACTGCAAGGTCTTAGAATACCACCTCAACATTTGAAAAAAGGAAACATTTTAAATCTGGCTAATTATAATCAGAATTGAGAGTAAAAATCTGTTAAAAAAATTGCAACAGATAAAAAAATATAGGACAAAGTCATGTTTTGTACCATATTACTTTTGAAATATAATGAAGACCTTCAGAACTATAACAGCCCAGTGTATATTGCACGGTGCTTTGTTCAAGTTCAAAGTTAGTTGCAGGACAGATTTTTTTAGATCTGCACTTACATTGTTTGTACTGACATGAACTTTTTACAAAGATTGGAAAATGCAAGTACTTTCACCAAATGAACCCTTTCTTTGTAAAAACATCTGACTTGATGGCAAACACAGTAGTTTGTTTTTGACTGAGCATTGGATTTAAGCAAACATTAAGATATTACAGTGAGGAAACCACTTTTAAAATTCATAACCCCTCTTTCAAACCTCCAAAACTCACTGTGAATCCCAATTATTTTTTCTCCCAAAGATTGTATTAATATGGTGAGGGTAGTTGAGAAACTTGCCCGCTTAAAAGTTAATTGGATAAATTTCCTTTTTTGCCTGGCAAAGGTTCTGTTGGTACAGCTAAAAATCACACTGTTGTAACTGGCCTTGAAAGTAAGAGTAAGTAAATTTTGTTTAAGAAGAATTTTTCAATGGGTGACTATCTAAAATGTGCCAAAGACAACTATTTTTAGAACACATAAAAAATAAACTGATGCTAGTATAAAATTACAGTTAGTTGAAAAACAGTTTTATTGAATTTATAAAATAAGCCTGTGGATGTGATAGTGAGTTTGGCATAAATTATATAAAAGATCTTAAATGGTTTAATGTTAAACATTTAAATATTCCATGGTCTTCCAAATATGTTTTAAGTAGCTTTTTAGTGTTTTCAATAAACATTTTGTGTTTTTTTATTGTAGTAGAATTAGAAAAAGCTCAATCAAGAAAAACAAGATTGACAGAAATTACTACAATATTGCTAGGGCTGGCTGAATTAGAATTTGTATATACTTGTAAGATTTTTACTGTATTACGTTACTGAAGTTTGTGTAATTTTTGTACAGTTTGTTGTTATATTCCTTGAGGTTTGTGATAGAGTCTGTGTATACTGTTGTGATAGAATATTTTTTGTTCAACGTTTCAGAAAGGCGTGAATGACTTTTGATTTTTGTAAGTTACCTAAAAGTAGACTGAAGTATTGAAGATGTTTACGTCCATGAAAATATGTGTGATTATAAGGTTTGGCTTTACCTCTAAAGATAGGTGTCCAAAAAAATTGGTTCTCATCAACTTTTGAAATATGCAACAATATTTCAAAATTATTATTTTTGTTCTGAGGAACAGTAACATTTGGCGTGTACCATATGAACAAAATGTTATTCTGTAGGTTTTTTCATTTTTCTTGACAAGAGTTTTGGCATATTACACATTAAGAAAAAGAACATGAGCCTCCATCTAGCTGTTCCTTAGGGGTAGCTGGGGGGCTTTGGAATAACCCTGCAAGATAGTGGGTAGTAGCGGCAAAGGTCCTACCTAGACATTGTTTAAAATTTAGGTACAAAATTGTTTATTTTACACTATTTTGTAAAACTACCCAAGGTAAACGGGGGTCTCATAGGAGGGGCTCAAACCCCCCCCCCCCTAGACCATATTGATGGACGCCCCTGTAAATAAGTGTTATGAAGTATGGTTCTTTATTTAAACCAATTAAAAGTGATATTTAATAATGATAAATTGGTAGAGCCAACCTTTGATAAGGTAAAAAAAATGTCTTCAAGAATATTTGTTTTTTTCTGCTTGAACATGTTTTATTGAACACCAGTTTAAACTAAGAAATAGACATAGTAAAATGCTGAGCTTGGAAAAGTAGTTAGTATATCATATATAAACATCATGGGTTTATTGGTTTATTGCTGTGCATTAAACTGAAAATATTAATTCTAAATAAGGAACAGCCTATTAGACCTATTCATATAAATTTATTATTTTAAGAATAATCAGAAAATACAGTGTTAAAATCCTACTAATTCATCAGTTTTTTAATTTTAAAATCGTAAAAATATTTTGTTGCATTTCCTGTTATTTTACCCTTGAAATTAAAAAGATGTGGATTTTTGTAGTAGGTAAGACTCTTTCTGTCAGAAAATATTACTTTTTGTTTTTAGAAGTTACTATTACAGAAACATCGTTTCTTTTATCATTGTGTTTCATTATTTTTTTCAAAGATTTTACATTTATTAATAAGTGAACACATTTTAAGTGAGTGATACATTTTGAAATAATCTGACTACAATAATGTAGTAACCGACTACAAAAATCAACACACTAAAGTTCTGGTTGTCACATTCTATTTAAAAAAAGTAAATCTTTACTTCCTGGTCCGTGCTATTACCACTATGAATACATTGAAGGTACTGGTAAGTGGTAACTCTAGAAATTATATATAATTTAATTTATTAAGTAAAAGATCATTGCAGTTATGATATAATGTAGTGTTAAAAATTATGTATCATATTAAGGCTATAAGAGTGTTATTTTTAATGTTAACTATTAACTGTTAAAAATGAAGAATGTTTTTATTATGTTGTGTAAATGATTACCTTACACAGTAAATATCCTTCACGTACCAATGAAAATAAGGTTCTTTAAATTGAAAATAATTTCTCTCAATTTTTGTTTTGTTTTAAGTTATCCCCTTTGTTGTCTGTGCTCTGAGCTAGAAGTTTATGTAACACCTTATTCTCTATATTCAGCTTGGGTGGTTTCTTCAGTGGTCTTCCTACGCTATCTTCTTATCAAAAACACACTGACAAATCACTTACCTAACTAGTAATTTTTTATTATCAGTGTGACGAGAAAAATTTTGCAAAGATTATTATATTATTAACTTCAAGTAAAACTTAACTTCACATCACATCAAATACTATCATTGCCCAATTTGATGACATTAATGCTCATGCTTTTAACCCCTTATAACTAAGAATCACTATTGACTTTATTAACAAACACAAATATACCTAAACAACAAATAGGAAAGCAATGCTCAAGTACACTCTCACACACATACACATTCACAAGAAATTGACGATTCCCCTGTCTACAAGGCAGCGGAGAAGACATCGATGGTAAATGGTAAATAGTATTCACTAACATTTTTATTTGACCCTTCCTAAAGTCAATGTTACGAGTGTAGTTCTGTCAAGGATTTTTGTATGGTGATTATACTTAGTATCGACTTTTTTGAAAGTAATTACTTCGATAAAAGTTATGATCAGTCTTAAATGAAGCATGAGACGTGTTATGGGCTAAAAAATTTGGTGCTTTTTGAGTCCTTTGCGTAAATTGATAGTTTCTGAGCAATAAATTTAGCCATATTGTTTGGGGTTATTCATATTCATATATTCCAGAATTAAGGTGTCAAACCATCCACCGGCCCTGAAGAGCAGATAGGGATCAAATTGTGGTCGGAAACACAAGCTGTAAGATGAATTGGGGATTGAGCAACTATAGACCATCTAGTGATTCTGAATGTTCCCAAAAGTGTAAAATAAAAATTGGCAAGGTGCTTTTGGTATTCATACTTGTGATAGGAAACTCTGAATGTCTAAGGCCTCTTTGTTATCTGTGTAAAGCTAAGGTCCAATTCACACAGAACGGACATCGGGCACGGACGAGGCAAGGACATATGTCTCTTCCTTGCCTCTCCATGTAAATAAATTGGTCAATGCCAATTTACAAGTGACGTGGCCTGGGCGGCCGCCCTCCCGCCACCGCCACGTCGCTTCGCCATCCCTCGTGGTGTATCGGAATCAGCATGTCCGTAGCGTGCCCGATGTTCGGACTCCAAATATTGTACTTACTAACCTTGTTTGTTGTTTTATGTTTAGAGTAATTGTGAGTCGTTTCTTGTTATTCACGATGTGAGACAAAATTGAATTCAATAGCATATTTTGTGAGGAAGTTGAACAATTCCCTTGTTTCTACAATCACAGTCGTACAAACTAACTAGTCGACAGAAATAACTAATTCAGTTGACATAAATAACTAACAGAAAAAGCAAATAACCCCTCCGCAGCAAACCTGCAGTCCAAGCAAATTTCCATTTGCCTGAATTGATTTTCAATTACATTGTTTTTATTAATAAGATAAGGTTTAATGAGTAGGCCTACCTAGGTTTGATGCTACAAAGAAACTAATAAAGTGTGTTTTTTAGTAAAATATTTATAGCTTAGTATAAAATTAATAAATTTGTCAAGTGTGATCAAAATATATCCATAAACAAGCATACTTCAACATTTCACAATATTCTCTACAAGAATAACAAGGGAATTTAAAAATTGATATTTTTTTAATTTTCTCCATATCTAACAACTGTACAAAAACACTTTGACATACTGAATTATTTGTTTTTTTAAGCTCTTAAAAAAGGTCCAGAAAGAATAATTTGGGAAATTTTGCGTTTTGAGGGTCAAAAACAAGAAAAACCAACTTTCCCTATAGGGAAATTTGCTAAAAACCAAAGCGTCTAGTCTACAGACAAGTTTTCTTGCCACTTTACCGTCCCTTCGCCGCCCCTTCTGTGTGCATTGTACAAGCCACGTCCGTGCCTCGTCCCCGCCTGACGTCCGTTCTGTGTGAATAGTGAATTGGGCCTAAGAAACCACTGGGTGGGGACGTTACGGACAGAATTTTTCAAAAAAGAAACATTCGCACCTTCTGCTGTCCTAAAGGAAGTTCGGAAAAAGATTTCTAGAGGACATCCCGACGTGCCGTACCGATGAGTTATCCGTCGTTTTGGTCTGCAGTGCGTGCACATGTTTCGATTCGGAAGGCAGACGCACCTTCTGCCTTTTCAGATACTTGGAGTAGTACAAATGCTAGGAGTGTGGAGGTAATTGTCCGTATGTCTCGTACTTCAAATTCGCAGTCCATTAAAAAAGTGTGGATCGTCTATATCGTCTGTCCGTGCTATCTTGACCTACTGCACGTTTAACTTAACACAGATTTACAACATTTTTTTGCAGCATGAAACATTTACTGATTGAATCTTGTGACAGTAGATGAGATTATAAATTTAATTATTTGTTGCTGAAAACCAAGATGTATGAAGCATTTTCTTTAAATGAAATATTAAATACATCTTGGTTGAAACCAAGACTATGCTTCAAGAAGAACACATTCATTCAACATTTTGCTCAAGGAACCCCTCTGCTAATCATCACCATAGACTAACCAACACTAGTAGACTTCTCGTCCCATACTGTATATTTTGAAGCTTGTTTTTCGTGTCTAGTTCATGTCTGGGCTCCGGGGACACTGATCGCTAGTAACAAGAAAATTTTGTTTCTATTATTTTAGGGTTAATTTCATGATTTGTGCGTTACTGTGTGGTTTTGGAGACAAGTTATTATCTATGATATTATATTGTTTTATTTGGTTAAACAAGGTTTTAAATTCTAGATGATAAGCTTCCACGGTCACTGCAGATTGTCAAATCTTGGTCTTCGCGGGTGTTGACCGCGTTGTTGAATTAGTTAAACTAGAGGCCGACGTTTCGGATGCGTAGCAGCTATCCAGCTGCGTAGTTCGCTCGAAGATGGATAGCTGCTACGCATCCGAAACGTCGGCCTGAAGACCAAGATTTGACAAGGTTTTAAATTACTGAAATAACAAGAAACAAATTGTAAACAAAACACTACCTCTACAGTGCACCGGACAGAACGAACAATAAAATTGTCTTCAGCCGATCCTTTTATATGAGAAATCTACTAAAGGATTATGTTTTATCTATGTCATCACGTAAAACTTGCAATATTGCATACAATTTAGGGATCTAGGATCTTTGAAACACACAACAAGTTTTAGATCACAGTTTTATACAGATAACTCATAATCCCGTCAGGACACTAGCCTCAAGGTGACGGGATAAGAGAAAGACTATTATATAACATGTGTAAAACTTTTTAAGGACATATGTCGATATGTCAGTTCTCCAAGAAGTAACTGCGATCTACAAATAAATACTGAACTTTTTTAAAAATTATATAGTTATATTTTTAATATTTGTGGATTTTTAGCTAGACTCACAATCAACAATACCAAAAAAGTTTTCCATAAAAAAACTATAAATTTGGCGATGTTAAACCTAATCTGACAATTTTTTAGTTTGACCTGCGCCCTTGTTTCAAACGTTTTACACCAGTTTTGCGACGAAGCCGAGGTTTAGATTTCTCCTGCTCGGCCATATCCACAAATGGCTGTTTTTCCTCTTGTTTGAGTTTGTGCCATGCTTTAGCTGTCCTTCTTATCATCTCTTTTCCAGATATTGGAGCTCCTTGGTATGAAGATCGATATGCTTGGACAAAGTTCATAAACGGCATTCGTGTAGGCTTGGGCACCATGGCCTTTATCTGGTTTACGTTGTTTGTATCACTATCCATGGTAGTTTCTAGCTTTGTAAAAACTAAATTGTATAATTTTAAGAGTGACTTCAACGATGGCATCTAATTTTTCATCAATTGTTTGTTGAATATACCTAGTTACTAGGCAACCAACTAATAAGTTAGTTCCAGACAAACAGAATTGGGTAAAATCATCCAGGTTTTCTTACAAGAAACAAATATGTAGTGAATAATCTGTGGAAAAAGGGCAAAATAACAGAGTTAGGTAGAAAATGCCCTTGCCGCAGCAAACCTGCTGACTAAGCGAATTTCCATTTGCCTGATTGGATTTTCAATTAAATCTATTTAAATAACATTATCATTATGTTTACAAGTACCTATAGGTTTGCTGCTATAGGGAGGGTAATAAAGTGGGGTTCTTAGTAGAATATCAATAGCTTAGTATAAAATAGAATTTAATTTGCCAAGTTTGATCAAAATATATCTATGTAAACAAGCAAATTACAACAGTTTACTTATTCTCCATTAGAATTGAATAGTATCATTTTAAATTTACAATTTATTTTTTGTGACTAATAACCGTTAAAAACTCTTCAATAAACAAAATTATTTTTTTAAGCTCTATAAAATGGTACTAAGAGAATTTGGGATTTTTTGTTTTGTTTTGAGGGTCAAAGATGAGAAAACCCAATTTTACCCCATAAAACCCCCGTTAAACCCCGATCATGCTGGTTCATGAACTCCTTAAAATTTATCGCGCCCTATACACCTTCAAGCCAACTTTAATCAAAAAACGGAAAAAATTGCTCCATGGCAGTGCATTTTACAGTAGTACCAACATAGATAGCAACAAGACAGTGTTTTTTTGTTCCCACATTGGGACACTTGAGTGAAAACTTCATTAATTGTACCATAAGAACAAAAAGATCATGTCCTCACGTATACCTCAATGTCAAGAAACATGTATTGTCAATTTAAAAGAATAGCCTACCAGAAAATTTAAAGATTTTGTTTACATTTGAACAGTGCTGAACGCATGAATACTTTTGAATAGTACTTGCACCATTTCTTTGTGACAACCACCTGCGCGTTTGTACCACTTAGGCCTTTTTACACAACATTTTTTATAGAGACGGACCTCATTTCTTAAAAAAGAGGTTGTTTCAAAAATCAAAGACGAAAATTCAAAAGAGTAACTCTATAGAGGTTCCAGCATCCAAAAGACGAGCAAGACTATGCGCCGGAGGCATTCAGGCAGAGACGTTGAATAACAATGCAACTTTATAATGGTTACCTGGCCTATTATTTTACAAATGCATTCTTACTATCAACTAATTTTCTTGTATCTTATTCTACTGGAGCTGATTAATCTGAATTGCTTTGTTTACTAAGATAACAATAACCCGTAGCAAAAGTAACTTCTAAACGAAACCACAAGGTCGGCCAAGGATGCAGCTTTCTGTCTGTATACAAAAACTAACAAATATATTATGTTTTGGTATGGAATCCCCGCATGCATAAAAGGGTAAGACTATATGATTATGATGTGAAAGAAGTCCTAAATGGTAGAAATAAAATAAAGGCACAGTAAAATCAGCAAATCGCTAATAATTGAGCTAATAATTAGCTCAATATAGATCAATAATTAATAGCAATTCATTGACATGGTAGGCATATATACTACACATTGTCGAATGTAAATAACTTAGTGTTTTAACGAGGCCGGCCATGACTCTAGCATTAGCATTGATGAACCAAACACACCAAAACTTGAATGATACCAATCTGTACTCACTAGGGAGTAGGGTTTAATGTTTAATCTTTGATGAGACAATGGTGAGTATAATAATTGGTCTACGCTACATAAACGGCCCCTATATATTTTTTATTCCTTATAAGGGCAAAAAAGATACCTTCGTGGTTAGCAGTTTAAAGTAAAGTATAATCATTGATTCTATATCTCCTAGACATAATCAATGGTATTTATCAATGAAGGCACTCATAGTAATGAACCACTACATTTTCATAAAACAATGTACCAACGTTTGAAAAAAAATACAGCATAATGCAAAAAAACATGGCTAACGTTTAGAATGCTCCTAGCAGTGGATATGAGAAACACTACTTATTGATTATTCTTCAGCGCATTCTATGTACAACGCCATGAACTACAGTGGCGTCCACCAGTTTTGTGCTGCTCTCTGACCAACATCTCTATGGAGCCCATCTGTTTCTGTTGCAGCAATGGCGTCTGCTAGTGCTGTCGTCAGTCTCGCGTTCGGTTTGTTGTGATTGTGTATTGCTGTGAACCTTTAGTTATGTGTATATTAGTTCGGTGAGAATTGCTTAGATATCTAATAAGTGAGTGAATTTAAGTGACCATGTACTGCCAAGTGGATAAATCAATGAGTAATTCATCAACAAAGATCAAGGATGGTGAGTATTATCACTTTGCATGGGTCATTTCAAAACACCCACGCTTTTGCACTGATTTCAATGGGTTCTTGTAGACAGAGTAATATCTTATTGTTTTAATCATTCCATACAAATGTTGCTTAATAATCTTTTCTTTCCTTGTAGATCTAAATTTGACCATTGACTTGAAATATGGTTACATTTTGTTATTTTAAAGGTTATGAATGGTTTAAGCTAGGATAGGGTTCTGCTTTTTGTTGCTTAAAAATACTTTTAGAGGGCTAAAATATGCAATGGTTTTTACAGAGATATAATTAACAGTATTCCTACCTAATATAAAATTATGAAATAGGCCTATACCTACTTTATTTAAGGTGTATATAAGTACAACTTGGGCCAAACTTTAAACAATAACTTATAAGTCCCATCAACAAGCTTTTATGTTCAAGAATAGACCTAATTCAAACAAACTTACTTGAAATAATATAGGTAGAAGTTGGCCTATTTGAAGTCTTTATCCTTGCCTGTCGGATAGATGGTGTCAATGACTGACCAGACTAAGTTATGCCTATGGTTTTATACTGTCGAGTGTCAACCTTATTCAGCTGAGGTTGTTATTTGCAGATCATTACAGATCAAATAAAATCTTTTATATTTTGCACAGTAAAAAATCTGTCTAATAGTGTCAAAAAACTAGGTAGCCTGCCTGTAAAAACTCGAAATACTTGTACAACTAAGTTAAAATTTAACAGAACAGCAATCCTAATTTGATCGGCAACTTAAAAAAATCTTTTATAGTGTAGGGAACTCATTATAAAGGTAGGCTATGTGTTTCAAGGCTCACCCCAAGTGTGCGATTAAGTTTTAAGTTAGGATAATGAGTTCTTAGGGATATGAGGAAGAAAGGTCAGTCTTATACTGATTTAAGTCTGTATTTGGCTATTATTAAGTGATTTGAAATTAGCCTAGGTTGAATTAGTAACTAAAGGCATGGTTTAGGAAGTGAACCGAGCTAATAATTTATTAATTTACCTCTAGAGAATGTTTTTGCAGTTGAAATAGTGGATTATAAACACAATGACTAACTTAGTGTTGTAAATAAGGCTTGAATTACCGGTAGGGTAGGCCTACTATCAACTAATACCGTAATTTGAGATGTAGCAAAAATAAGGTAGTCTAGGCTAAATACAACCAGGATAATACACTTTTTGCTTATATTTCCAGTTTAACAAAAAACCACAACAATGAAAAAGCAAATTAATTAAATAGTTTCATGTTTCGTAAAAATGCACCTTGTGTAGGGCCTATGTAGGTACTAAAGCGAATAAAACCCCAGTTTCTTCAAATATTAACTTAGTCTAGTGTAAATCCTGGGAAAGTATTGGAAATTGCTTGCCTGCCAGATTGAAGCGTTAAACAAACTGTTTCCCGACCATAGCTCTTAGGGTCTACAGCTTGCCCCAAGACCTAAAAAACCTTGAAACAAGGAAATTTAGCACCCTGAAGTCATGGATAATAACCAAGCCTTTTGTTGTCTGTTCATCGTTGCCTGTTGAATAAAAAAATGAGGGTTGATCTACAGCCACAAGTGAATAAATCTAAATACAGTAGTAAGATACAAAAGTCTGTTCTATGTAAGTATGTTTTATTTTTTTAATGACACAACCTATCCGGAATAGCTGGTCTCGACGAAGAAGAAGGTAATCATCTGGAATCTATCTAAAACTGACATATGAGTTTAGGTCAAAGGTCGAAATCAAGCCAAAACTTTATGACTCAATCAGCTACCTATACTTTTGTTTTGTCTGATTATTATTGAGGTGTCCATTAAAACTTGGAATATTCAACTTTCTGTAGTTACATCAGCCCACTCTGGCGATGGCTCAACTTAACTACTGTAAGTCCATTTTGATTAAAAAACTGGCGACAGCTTGCACATAGGGATGGAATATCTAGTTGTAGGCCTAGCCTATAGTCAAAGATAGGAACTTAGGTTAGGTACCAATGATTGACTTTTATTTATATTTAAGTAATTTGGTTACAAATGGCGGTTGTTTGAAATACTTTCATAGTAGAAATACTGTACACAATATATAATTATGAGTGGTTATTATTTAATTACTAAATCTTAAAGCTAAGCTATGGTCAGATTTGGTTGAATTGACTAACGTGATAGTTGTTTTTTTATAAAATCTCAATCAGTCAGTTTAGCTTATACCTAGGGATTATCCTAGTAAAATCAATAGAAGGGTACCGGTACCTACTCTTCTCTTATTTATAAAACTACCGTTTAACTTCTTAATTTTCAAGATGAGCTCGTTCGCATGGCTCAATCACGTCCTGGTTAGGTTGGAGCTCGTTCGCTGCATTCACTTGCCTTCAGGTTAGCTCGTTCGCTACGCTAACTGGCCTCCAGGTTGAAGTTCGTTCGCTACGCTCACTCACCTTTTGGTTGCAAATTGGCTGTTGTCATAAATTTAAAAAAAATAATAGTGCTGCCCCCTGTTGGTAATCCTTGTAAATTTAATGCTATTGAACATCATAGAACAGAACCAACTTGTTTAATTGAAACAGCTGTTAAGATTCATTAATTCCTTTTAAATATGACAAATCATAAGGTTAACATGGGAAACTCTAGAGCCACTGGGGCGGAGCACGAATGCCCGATCAGAATAAAAACTACTTAGTTTTCTTATTTAATGCCCAAAGAATCGGTGTACCGAATTTCAGCCTCCTAGGTAAATGGGAAGTGGGAGAATGAGTGATGAGTGAGTGTGTGAGTGAGTGAGTGTGTCAGTGAGGGCTTTGCCTTTTATAAGTATAGATGTTAAACAGTACCTACTTCTAAAGCGATTTAAAGTCATGTGAGTGCCAGCATGTTTCATCTGCATAAAGTGAGCATTATACTTTTTTTCTTATTAACTAACTTAGATAGTTTTTATCATGGAAAAAGTATTTTTAAAGTCTGATTTTACTTTCTTGAATTCACCATCATACTTAGTTGGAGGGGGGGGGGGCAAGGGAATATATGAGTGAATAAATTTCCTATCTTGTGAAGGAATGAGGAGTTAGATATTGAAATTACTGGACAGTGGAGACAGCCACAACTATCTTCATGATTTTGATAATGTGACTTTCTGGCTGCAGTTGGTAAAATCTGCCTCTCAATCCCTATACCGAGTTCATTTAAACTCATAATTGGGTTCTTATAAGTGATTTCTGTTAGTAACTTAGTTCACAGGACAATGCCTTGATCCTCGAATTATTCTACAACTTTCAAACTTAAATTTTTTTGTTTAGTAAAAAGAAGATAGGCCTATCTACAGTTGACAATTTCAGCTATCATTTTCATGGGTTGGTTTTTGTAATCTACTTTAAACAGTCAATTCTAACACAAATGAACTAACTCTTTTTTAAATTGTCAATGGCGTTACAACTGCTACAAGTGTTTGTGAGACTAAAAAATTAGCTTAACAATACAACGGTTGTGACAATGTAACAGTTGATACAAACCTGTAACAGTTGTGTTTTATTACACAGTCATGTAACAAAGTTTTCCCCGGAATAACCCTTCCACCCCGATGTTATCTTAAGCTAAACATATTGGAGATTATTTGTTTAGATCAATGAATTTTTGATATTCGATTGAAGAATTGTGGGGTTTAATTTTCCAAATTGCTTCAGTAGGTGACCGTCTAGTAGCGAATGAGGTCTAAATAAACTAAATAACTAAAACATTACATTTCATGATTTTGGTACATAATAGGTTGATCAAACTTTACAGTAATACGAAGAGTTACATTTAAAAAAAGTATTAATATTCACCAGGTACGATTTCATTAAATCCTATTCAAAATTTGTATGTTTTGAATTTTCATTGTTTAATGGCTGTGACATATTTGAATTTTAACATCGTGATTGCATTTCAAACCACCTCACATACTCGTTTAGTTACTATTATTAATAGCATAGCCTATATTGTTTCATTGTTTAAAATACATCAATTACAATTAATTACATGTGGCTAGTTGTTGCTTTTTACTAAATTTTTCTCTCCCAAACAAAAAAAAAAAAAAAAAAAAAAAAAAAAGGGTAGCCGAGTGGTTATAGTGCTCGCATACCATTCAGAAGGTCACCGGGGTTTGATCCTGAGAAAAGTCAGTAGCGTTTTGATGGTTCGAAACTGGACCTAGCTGTCCCTGATTATTGCGCTATAAAAAGTCCTAGCTACTGAAACAGCTGATCTTAGTCTGTAACAAACCTACAAAGATCATTTCACTCCATTCTACAATCATCCTTCACTCATATTGGGTTAAAATACACACATAGGTAGCGTCTCTATTTCAATTAATTGATAAATAAAAAAGATTAGATTTGGGGAGTGTATTTTAATTTTGTGTCGTGATTAGCTACTCCCAAGTATCCCAAGCCATCGACAACTGACCATGTACGTAGTGCGGCTCTTGTCCAAGTCTAGACCAATAAGATAACTCTTAATATCCTGCTTGAGGTTATTGTCGAGGCTTCCGGTCTGCACTTCACTTGTAGTCCTTTGGTCACCTCTTACAAAACCTTGACTAATATTATAACTGTTCGAATTCCTCAATGATGTCCAAGCATTAACTTTGCACCAGTGTAGAAGTGATGATTAGATTGTATTACCGTATCACACATAATGAATAGTTGGAACTCTCTTTGCAATATTCTTCATCTTAAAAATAACTTTTTTATTCTGCAAACTAGTACTGTTGACGATTTAAATTTCACGACAGTATCATTGTGTAATCGAAAGGAAAAACAATGTTGAAATGAAATTAAAAATTATTTATTTAATCAGGCAAAGTTAGGGCCACATGGCCCTCTCTTACACTTAACTTGTTTATAAAAATCTAAACATATACTGTACATTACAAATACTATAATCTATTTACAATATTCAATGTAAAAAGAAACAATAAACTTTTAAAACAAACCACTTTACATAAACACCCACACACACACACACACACCAATGTAATGTT